CATAAAATCCCGTTTTCTTAGGTATATTTAATAACATTTGAAGTGGCCTTGCCATAAAAGACTTGAGAAAAGCATGAAAAAGGAAAAATCTCAAACCACAAGAAAATCCCATATATAGATCATGTTGGTTGAAATTTATAGCACCGTAACACACACACACACACACACAGCTGCCTGCAAGCACACACACAAATACAAAGCATATAGAAGAAAGGGCACAATGGAATAGATTGCAGTATCAGTTGAGTTTATGTAATTAAGAGTATCCTCTTTTACCTGTTTTATAATTGCTCAATTTATCATGTCTTTGCCGGACGCATATATTATCATTAGAATTCGATCAACAACAAAGGAAATTTATGAGTATCCATTATCCAATGCTGAGTGAAGAAACAATGTCACAAAACTCTACCTACAGTATAACCACAATATAATTGAAGAAAATAAATAATGGTATGTTCATCTGTGGGTGGATGTTTGTGTATTTCAAGCACCTTGGGAACAAAGAAGGAGAGTTTATTGATGAACAGTAGGCTACATTTATTTGATTAAATAATACCAGCTTTCATGAATGGTTGTACATCTTGTTTACAGCATTTGAACACATGTACCCATTAAGCTGTCCATAGTGGTTCCCTTGGGATAGCTCGATTTGGGATGAAGTGTTTCCATATGTCTTTCAGAGATTGGTGTATTCTGCAAGATTCTTCACAATGTTTATGTTATAATTCAGTAACAAATCTAGAACAAATATGTACAGAAAAAATTATTGGTGGCAATTTGCTGCCTTGACCACGTAAGACCTAAGGAATCTATATGAGCACAACAGGATATTTTATACACAACAGGATTGAGGATACACCATATTTTACAAGTCCTTGTCTGTTTGAGATGGCATTACCTGTGAGTTCCTTGCACTTCTTTCTAAGTGGTGGCTATACCTGGGCTTATTGTTAAGAAGCATGTCTAATTTTAAGGGGCGCCTGGGTGGCTCAGTCTGTTAGGTGGGCGACTCTTAATTTCGGCTCAGGTCATGATCTCAGGGCCCTGGGATCGAGTCCTGTGTCGGGGGGGGGGGGGGGCCTGTGCTCAGCGGGGAGTCTGCTTGTCTCCCTCTCCCTCTGCCCCTCCCCCCCGCTCGCTCATGCTCTCTCTAAAATAAATAAATAAATCTTATTTAAAAAAGAAGCTTGTCTAATTTTGAGAAATTCTAAACATAAGAGGCTACTCTTTTAAAAATACCAATATTTCGGGCACCTGGGTGGCTCAGACGGTTAAGCGTCTGCCTTCGGCTCAGGTCATGATCCCAGAGTCCTGGGATCAAGTCCCGCATCGGGCTCCCTGCTCCTTGGGAGCCTGCTTCTCCCTCTGCTTCTCTCTCTGTCTCTCATGAATAAATAAATAAACAAAATCTAAAAAAAAAAAGATCTTTTTGGGCGCCTGGGTGGCTCAGTTGGTTAAGCGACTGCCTTCAGCTCGGGTCATGATCCTGGAGTCCCGGGATCGAGTCCCACATCGGGCTCCCTGCTCAGAAGGGGGCCTGCTTCTCCCTCTGACCCTCCTCCCTCTCGTGCTCTCTCTCATTCTCTCTCTCGCAAAAAAATAAATAAATAAATAAATAAATAAAAATACCAATATTTCAAAGAATATTTAATGATGTTTGGAAAGTATTCTAGTTACAATAAGTGTAGAAAATAAATTTGAATACCAGCAGTATGAAGGAATTTTAATTTTACTTTTTAAAAGTTATTAGTATATTGTATAAGTTAGCGGTGAGAATGACATTTTAAAAGTCTTTATTCTTGTTGGGACTGCACTACTTTATTTTTAGCCTTATGATTTCTCAAAATTTGAACAGTTTGCCTGCAGCAGGTATTCCTTTTGTAAATCTCTTGGATAATAAGGCTCTTCCAACAAGAGAATAAAGAAATTCCAAGGTCTCTAAATATATATGTATATGAGCATATGAAAATTGTATCAAATAATGATGAGGAATTTGTTCAAAACTACCTTCAGCATGCATTCAATTATGTTTAAAGAGAAACAAACACACATATTAGTACATTTGTATATATCCATCCATATTTGTACACATGTGTAAAAATTATGTATTTTTAATCATGGTGATTATTACAATAAGAATGCAATTAACTTCACCCAAATTTCACCCTCTGTGTCCATATATGCATGGGTGTGAGTTTGGGTGTATGTATATATATATATGTGTGTGTGTGTGATGTATATACAGGCCTATCTGATTTTATTGTGCTACCCTCTATTGAGCTTCTCAGATACCGCAGTGTTTGCAAATTGAAGGTTCGTGGTGACTCTGCATTGAGCAAGTCTGTAGGCACCACTTTGCCAACAGCATTCGCTCACTTCGTGTCTCTCTGTCACATTTTGGTAATTCTTGCAATATTTCGAAATTTTTCATTATTATTATCCTTGTTATGGCCATCTGTGATCAGTGATTCCAATTCATTCAGATGATGGTTAGCATTTTTTAGCAATAAAGTATTTTTAAATTAAGGTATGTACTTTTTTTTAGACATAATGCTATTGCACATATAAGAGACTACAGTATCATGTAAACATAACTTTTATATGCAGTGGGAATCCAAAAAAATTATTTGACTCACTTCATTGTTGATATTTGCTTTATTGTCATGGTCTGGAACTGAATCCACAATATCTCTGACGTATGCCTGTGTATATATACATATACAAACTGACATTTAGTTTCATACACAGCAATAAGTTTACATTAAAATTGAATTATTCATATGTCATGTTTTGGATCATATTTTCATTTCTGTTTCCTAGACAGTTTGTCATTATCGTGAAAAAATTTGCAAGATCTAAGTTTTAGTAAATAAATAAATATAAAGGGAAATATTGATGAAAGATTATTGATAACTATAAAAAATGCAAATGCTTTCACCTTGGAGCTTTAATAGAATACAAGGGTTTGTATTTGATAGAATACACCTGGATCACAGTGTTAGAATGATGTACACACTTTATTTATTTATTCAGTAATGTAGTCTGTTATATTTTTAATAATAAAATGTTAAGATTAAATTTTATTTTCTTTTGTTTTGGGGTGGAGGGGAAGGAGAGGCAGAGGGAGAGGAAGAGAGAGAATCTTAAGCAGGCTCCATGCCCAGCCCAGAGCCCAACTCAGGGCTTGATCTCATGACCCTGTGATCATGACCTGAGCCAAAATCAAGAATTGGACGCCCAACCAACTGAGCCACCTAGGTGCCCCAAGGTGAAATTTTAAATAAAAATATAGGTTAAATTTTTGAGAAGGAGAACAGTCCTATATTTTCAGAGGCACACTTGTGTAGTTGTGATTCAATATTTGTTTAAGAATATATATGTATATGGGGCACCTGCGTGGCTCAGTCGGTTAAGCACCTGGTCTGCTTCGGCTCAGGTCATGATCCCAGGGCCCTGGGATCAAGCCCTGCATCAGGCTCTCTGCTCAGCAGGGAGCCTGCTTCTCCCTCTCCCTCTGCCTGCCACTCTGCCTACTTGTGACTTCTTTCTCTTTGTTAAATAAGTAAATAAAATCTTTTAAAATATATATATGTATATGGATTATACATATATATTAGCATAATAAGGATTAGAAAATGGAGATCTTCAAATCATGATACCTGAGGGGTGGCATCATAGGCATTAAGTTTCAAGTTGTTAAATAAGTGTCTTATGAACTGAACATTTCGTCATTGAAATCCTAATATTTTCACTGAATGTGGCAATCCACAAACTCTTTGCCAATGTTTTATTTACTAAAACTCGGGTCTTGAAAAATTGTAATGAAAATATGATACAAACCAGGACATACAAATACATCTCATTTTAATGTAAACTTACTGTTGTGTATGAAGCTAAGTATATCTGTTTCTGAAATGAATGCACGAGTATATGGAAACTGAGTTTTTCTGTATGCACTGAAACAAAATCTAAATGTTTATGATAGCACTTTACTCTTGATCCGCATGCGGTTATTTTCTGAATCCTTTGCAAGCACCATGTCTTAGCTACTTATGAGAAAATGCTATATAACTGATCCCGAAGAGATAGTCACTAACATGCACATACACAATAACATCATAGGGAAGCCACTGAAGACCATGTAATAACATGGAACTTGCCTGTGTTCCAATGTTGAATGATGAAACCATGAAGCTAAATCATGTTCCCTCTGACTGGACTGTATACATATTTGAGTAGGTGTATCATTCCAGGTGTAGCATGCAGTCTTGAGAGCCATCTAGATACTTTTCTTAGGGTTCCAGACAAAGAGATTGCTTCTCCCTAAATACACCAAGGCCTAGTGCCCTTGCCAGAGAATGGAGGAGCACTCCTAGGGAACTTGGGAAGTGAGCCAGGTCAAGAACCACTTGTATTGGTGCCTAGATTTGCTCTTCTCCAAGCCCTTAGGTGCAACCATTTTTTCCCCCTTAGGCCTGGATCCCTGAGGTTTGCTCCCTGCTATCCCAAGACAATTTGGTCCCAAGAGAAAACACTGGAGCTATAGTGCTGAGTGAAGAAAAAGTAGAAGGGCAAAGACTAGGTAAGTGGAAATTGAGTTCTTGAACGTAAAAGATGCCTGATGAGACTGTAGGTTTAGGCCCCGGTGTGATTGCAGATGGAAATCAAAAGCAAAACCACAATAGTGTGAGCGGGTTTCTTCAAACTGGGCAAGAAGCAAGGAAGCCATATTTCCTGCTGCCTTTGTCTTTGGTCATATTTTTTTCACACCGGTTGGGCGGGAGAAGAGGGCATGTGGGCAGTCTTAGATAGAATTTCCGGAACAACACTGCCATCGTGAGGAAATCTCTGGAAAAAGCCCCAAGGCTGCTTCTCTGAAATGACTTTTACTTTGGAAAGGTCCATTCAGTGGGGAGGCTGAGGGGCCGGCTGGAGCTTGAGCTCAGTGCCTCCACCAAAGGCCTACCTGGAGCCCTGGATAAAGGTGGGGTCCAGGTGTAGGAGGTGGCTGGTGGGGAGGCAAGGCTGCTAGCATCCGCCAGGAAGTCGGGGCACAGGAAGTCGTGGGGTGGGGTCTTGGTATTCGCCTTGTGTGGGCGGGACCAGAGGAAACCAGTAACAAAGTACTGGGCCTGTGGGTCTCCCAGCCCCCCTGAGCACGTGGCATTCCCGTGCCCTGGGACCTGGGCCGTTTTTGGTAGCAGAGCCTGAGCTCAGAGGACAGGACGGTTCCTGGTGGCTTATAGCACGACCCAGTGTGCTTGCTGGAGGTCTCAGGTGCACCCAAATTGGAGCTGGGAGAGTCTGGAGACAAACGAAACTACCTGGCCAAGCCAAGTACTGTTAGCACTTCTGCTACACGATCAGACTTTGCACAAACTGATGGGAACCAAAACCAAGTGAAGAGGACTGAAGATGAACCCACATTTCAAAAGTCCTTGTCTGCTGGAGGTGGCATTACCTGTGACCTCGCTTCACATCTTCATACTTGGCTGTTGTAGCAGGTACATTGTAAAAAAGAAGCATGATTGTTTCTAGAAATGCAAAAATAGGTGGCAAAATTTTAAAACGTCGAAATTCCAAAGAATATTTGATGATGTTTTAAAAAGCATTCAAGATACACGGCAGGAAAACTTGTTTTAATGCTTAAAGTAGAAGGGAATTTGAACATTATTTTTTAAAAGTACATATATGTGCAAAGTGAAGAGATAAGAATGCATGGCAAGGATATTTTTTAAGTGGTTATTTCTTCTGATCGAGGTACCATTTGTTTTCTGCTTTATAATTTCTCAAAATTTGAATGCTTTGCCAGTAGCAAGTATAACTTTTGTAATTTCTTGGAGTAGATAGGTCTTCTAGGGCAAAACAAAAACATTTTCAAGCACTCAAAAATATATACTGATAGGCACGTATGCAAGAGGTTTAAGGTAGTGCGCAAGACTGCAAAACTGTACCCAGTATGCGTCCAGTTATGTTTAAAGAGAAGCATACCTGTGTGTGTAACATTTATTTATATATGCATATATATGAATGTGTTTATATATATGTAAAATAAGCGAACATTTTTAAAAGCAATATATTCACAACCATAGTCCGTTTTATAGTAAGTATGCTTTTCAACGTGAAATTCTCAGTCAACATACTTATATACATATTTACATTTATATAAAAGAAGACATTATTGACAAATTATAGCTGAATGTAAAGGGTGTGAATATACCACCTTAAAGTTTTCTTAGGATGCACATCTGGGTGACTGAATTTCAGAGACAACCAATTTCAACCTTCATTTTTGAATTATATTTTTCTTTACAGTTTTTAAGGAAAATTTTAAGGTTAAAAATTTGGTGTAAATTTTGAGAAGTATAAAAAAAGAAACCTTAGTGTTCTGGGAAATGAGTATTTAGTATCTGTAGATAAGGCAAGTCTCAAAATAAGATTCCTGAGTGGTCGCATTATAGACATTTGATGTCCTGTGTATGAATAAAACCAGATTAAGTGAGAACCTAATTAATATTCTTAAATAATGAGTCAATCAAGTAGTTCTTTGCAAGTATGTATCGTCTAAAATCCAGGTCTTCCAAATGTTTGATGATAATTTCAGACTACCCAGGAATCAAGTGAAAGTTTTGAATCTAAAACATGATGCCTACATAAATCCAATTTAAATGTAAATTTATTGTAGTTTATTGCATAAACACAGAACTGTGTATGTGTGTTGAAATAATAGAAGTAAATGTGTGAAAGGTTATCAGTGGTTATTTTCTGAATCCTTTGCAAGCACCATGTTTTAGTTATGTTTGAGAAAACACTACAAAACTGATCCCTAACAATTAGTGGCATGTACATATATAATAATTTAAAAATCATAGGAAGCCATTGAAAGTCATAATCACATGCATTGGAATATGGTTGTGTTCCATTGTTAAATGATGAAAACACGAGACAAAATTATGTCTCTTCTGACTGGAATTTCTGTATGTTCCAGTGTATCTGTCACTCCAAGTGGAACACTGTATGAAAATCAGACTTGAGAGTGCTCTGGACCCTACTCTTAGGGTTCCAGCCAGATGGCTCCCTCCCACTCCACAGGCAAGGCCTGGTGCCTTCAGAGAAAATGGAGGATTCCAGGGAATCTGGCAGTGAGATAAGTCAAGAACCACGTGGCCTGGTTCCTAGATTTGTTCTTCTCCATGCCCTTATTCCCATCATTTTCTTCACTCTCTTAGCCCTGGATCCCTAAGAATTAACCAACTGAAGCAAGTCACATGGGAAAATGTTGGAGATCAAAGCTCAGTGAAGAGCAGACCTACAAAGCTTTGGTAGAATGGAAATGGAATTCTTGAAAACTTGGTTGATGAGTGTAGGTGGTTTAGGCCTCTGATTTTTGAGGGAAACTAGAAGCTAAAGCTCATCTGGCCAGTAGATTTCCCCCAAACTGGGCAAATGGCTAGACAACTTTGTTTCCTGATTCCTTTCTTTGTCTCTTGGTGGCTTTTTTTTCATATTGAATGGGCGGGAGTGGAGGGCCCAGGGAGCTGGGTTAATTGGCTTTTCCAGAGCAATACTGCCACCAAGAGGAAGTGGTTTGACAAAACCCAGTGGTGTTAGAACTGTGAGGCCTGGCAGTTGAGAAAGGTTTGGCCTTTTAAGAGGTTGAGTGGACTCTGGCCTTGAGCTGGGCCTCCTTCTCTTCAAATCTGAAGCAGCTGGGTCTAGTTGTCCTTGAGGCTGTTCTTGGCCAAGGGGGATTTGGAGATATTTGCGAAAACATGCCTCAATGGTCAGGTACCCTATGAAGGTGTAAGGTGCCCTCTGACCTCATTACTCTGCTTCAGCTAAGCAGATAGCTGAGAAATCCTGCATTAGATGACTAAGCTGCCTGTTTGGAGTTAATAGTTTGGCTTGCCCATAGGCTAGGGGAAGCTAGATGGGTGAAGACAGTGCTCCGTATCTGAAGTTAGAATTGTGGGTGACAGGTGAGGTAGCCCTAGCCCTGGAATTCCTCAAACTCAAGAATTTTGTGTTTACATATTTCGGTTTACATGAAGAGAGACTATTTGGCCAGGGGATGGAAGCCTAAAGCAATAGCACCTTTCTGAGTCCAGGAATTCAAGCATGGTACCATGACCAGTAACAGGAGATTGTAACTATTGCCAAGCCTAACTACCGCTCAGCTCTTGACACTCATTTCAGATCAAAAGCTATTTCAACATGAAAAATTAAAAAAAAAAAAAAAAAACCACCCAGTAGGAAAAGTGGCAAAGAAAATAGCAGGTACGTCCCAGACAATAAAGGGCGTGTGACAATAAAGGGCGTGTAACACGGGGCACCTGGGTGGCTCAGTCGTTAAGCGTCTGCCTTTGGCTCGGGTCATGATCCCAGGTTCCTGGGATTGAGCTCCACTTCGGGCTCCCTGCTCTGCGGGGATCTGCTTCTCCCTCTCCCACTGCCCCTGCTTGTGTTCCTTCTCTCGCTGTGTCTCTCTCTGTCAAATAAATAAAATCTTTTTTTTTTTAAAAAGGGCATGCAACACAGAAGTCTCTTAGCAGAGATTTTCAAACTCACCAGTACCACATTAAATTGTAGTTCGACATAGTCTCCCATAATGCCCTTCATTCTTCATCATAACCCTAAGCAAGCCACTGAAAATGAAGCCATTATCACCCAGTTTGTGTAATGATTTGTAGAATTGGACAGGCTCCTACCAGGTCAGAAGCATTGTCAATTGGCTCAACTCTTTGGAGGTCAGTTGGTTGACATCAGTTAATCTTTCACATGGGAATATCCTTTGTCCAGAGACTTTGACTCTCAAAAGTGATCACATAGCCACATTCCCACAGGAAAGCAGAGAGCTGGGGCCAAGGAGGATTGTTGAGGTTTCCTTTGCAAGAGTGGATAGCAGGGAGGGGCAAAGGGTCCGTTTTCTGGGTTCAGCTACAACGGGCAGTCTTTGTAAGCCCTTGGAAAGATTGAAACCCGTTCTCTGAGTCTTTATCAGGAGAGATGTCCATAACCTTGATTCCAGGAAGAAAAAGCAAAGTGTTGGAACTTTGGGATCAAACCATCCTAGGTGTCTAATACAAATGAAACGGAAAAATAAAGCCTGTCTTTCTCAGCTTATTACCTACATGATTAATTCAAGTTGAAAATATAAACACATAAGGATTAAAAAAAGTGAATAGGCATAAGCGAAGTATCTGGAAAGGGGAAAGTACAGACAGCTAACAGTGACTAAATTTCTAGAGTGATGTTTCCAATGGCTTGCCTTCAAGTTTTAATTTTATACTTGTCTAAAATCTCCAAATGTTGAAAGTGGGAAAAGCTGGTATTTGAAATTTTTTTTTTAAAAATCAAGAAACCAACATTATACCAATATACAGTTAAGAAAAGAGGCTATCAAAAGATCTATATTTCTTTTAAAAATGTGCACAGGTCTATGTCCATGCAAGATTTAAAGGCCTCAGACTTAATTGTTATGCAAACAGAATGGTATTTCCAAATTCTGCTTAACAGAAAATACAAATTTCTGAAGCATATTTTTTTTAAGATTTATTTATTTGAGAGAAAGAGAGAGGTTGAGTGTATGCACACAAGCTTGGGGGAAGAGCAGAGGGGGAAGGAGAAGCAGACTCCCCGCTGAGCAGGAGGGCCAACGTGGGGCTGGATCCCAGGACCCTGGGACCGAGGGCCAACGTGGGGCTGGATCCCAGGACCCTGGGACCATGACCTGAGCCAAAGGCAGCTGCTTAACCGACTGAGCAACCCAGGTGCCCCTCTAAAGCATATTTGATGTCATATGAAGAGGCTTATGTGATAGAAGACCTGAGAAAACATTAATAGAAGGAAGCAACTTAAACTGCAAGAATATTCCATATGTATCAGGAAGTCCAAATACCAGCAAATCCTGACAGTCTGCACACATGTGCCCACACATAGCCAGTTATGTAATAAATATAACATAAAAGAGCAGAATGCAATAGATCCAATATCAGTGACATTTATTGAGTTCTTGTGAGTTAGATATCATTTGTTTTCTATTTGCTCAATTTACTGATTCTTTTCCAGATGTAAGTTATTCTTATAATTTGATCAACAATGAAGGAATACTATGTGATTTAACCATAAAACATCATCAGGTTGTTCATAAATAGTAAACGCCGTTGGCAAGTACCCACTGTCCAGTGTTGGGTCAAAATTTCATGCCACCAAACTCCACGTACAGTGTGAAGAGGCTGGATTTGAAGACATAGAAACATTTAGAGTTTGTGTGTGCGTATGTGCGTGTGCGTGTATTGCATTGTGCTGGGGAATATGGGGATATAATGATGAGCTGTAGACTAAATCTGTTTAGCTCTCATGAATAATTGTATATCACTTATAACATTTAAACCAACATACTCATCAAGCTGCTTATTGATAGTGGTTCCCTTGTGAAAGAGGGATCTGGAATAAAGTGTTTCCATTTGTTCTTGACAGACTGTATATTCTAAGATATTTTTCA